TCAAGGCTAGCGCTCTACCACTTGAGCCACAGCGCCACTTCCGGCTTTTTTCTTTTTGCTTATGTGGTGCTGGGGAATCGAACCCAGGGCCTCAGGCATGCAAGCAAGCGCTCTACCACTGAGCCACCTTCCCAGCAGCTACTTCATTCTTTACCATCTTGCTAAATGGAAACACTTTTTCCTATCTAATGTTTAATTGGATTATTGCTTTCTTCTTTTTTTTTTTTTTTCTGCTGGCACTGGGGCTTGAACTCAGGATCTGGGAGCTGTCCCTGAGCTTTTTCACTGAAGACACTAGTGCTATACTGCTTGAGTCACAGCTCCACTTCTGCCTGGGCAGGCTTTGAATCTCTATCCATATATTTCAGCCTACAGGAGTGCGCCTCTGGTAGCACGCTTTGAATTTTGAGAACATTTGTGCCAGGGCTGGCCTCCAACCTTGATCCCTCAATCTTTGCCACTGCATAAGCCACCAGTGCCCAGTCAAACATGATTTTGATTCTTGTATTGCCTGCCTGTAGCTCACACCTATAATCTGGCTGGATTATTGATTTTTTTTTTTTTTTGGTCAGTCATGGGGCTTGAACTCAAGGCTTGGGTGCTATCTCTGAACTTTTTGCTGAAGGCTAGTGCTCTACCACTTAAGCCACAGGGCCACTTCCAATTTTCTGATGGTTAACTGGAGATAAGAGTCTCACTGACAGCCTGGGCAGCCTTCAAACCACTATTCTTAGATCTTAGCATCCTGAGTAGCTAGGATTACAGGTGTGAATCACCAGCTCAGCCCTATTGCTGTTGTGGATTCATTGTTATTTTTTCAGCAAGGCAGAAACACAGATTCCTGTATAGTTTGTATCTCCTACTGTTCCCATTGTCGGCTAGGGATATGATAGCTACGTTAATGACTGGTCTGCCCCAATGCTTACACTTTCTTGTCATACTGAATAAAGTCAAGAATTCAATGAAGTACCTTGTTCAAAAGCCATCTTCACATTGTCAGTAAATTCTTTCTGTTTAGCTGAAAAAGAAGATAGTCAACTTAACTTTTCAATTTACATAGGCTCATAATATGAAGACAACAGTTTGTGATCATGCTGCTTTAAATTCAAAGCAGGAAGCCAAGCACTGGTAGTTCATGCCTATAACTCTAGCTACTCCTCAAGAGGATGATAGTTAACTAGCAAGCCAGGGCAGGAAAGTCCAAGAGATTCTTATCTCCAATGAACCACCAAAAAAGTTGTAAATGGAGCTGTGGCTTAAGTGGTAGAATACGAGCCTTAAAGGAAAAAAGCTCCCAGGCACTGAGTTTAAGCCCCAGGACCAGCAAAAAAACAAACAAAACCCAACCAACCAAAAAAAACCCCCAACAAAACAACAACAAAAAACCCACACAAGGGAGAAGCTTACATTCAAGGTCATAGTTTTATAACATTTTGTCTCTACATATACTGTGGGGCCTGAACTCTGGGCCTGGGTGTTGTCCCTCAGCTCTTCAGCTCAAGGCTAGCTCTCTACCACTTGATCCACAGTGCTACCTCTGGCTTTTTCTGCTTATATGGTGCTGAGGAATCAAACCCAGGGCCTCATGCATGTAAGGCAAACACTATACCACTGAGCCACCTTCCCAGCCCCTACTGTGACAGTTTTTATTTATTTTTGCAATGTAGGGAATGAAGTTAGGGTTGTACAATCTAGGCACCTAGCTATATTCTCAGTTATTAGTTTTATAGCTTCTGAGTGATAAGATACAGGTGTACAGCTGATATTTAATGCAGCCCTCAGACCATGAACAATCTGAGGACAATCATCAATGTTTACAAAATGGCTATGAAAAAAAAAGAGGAATTTCAGCAAGGAAAAAACTCCTTTTTTTGTCGTAGTGGGGCTTGAACTCGGCCTGGGTGCTTATTCCTCAGCTCTTCAGCTCAAGGTGAGCACTCTACCACTTGAGCTACAGCACAACTTCTGGTTTTCAAGTGGTTTATTGGAAATAAGAGTCTCATGGAGGAAGTGGCATTGTAGCTCAAGTGGTAGAGCGTTAGCCTTGAGCTGAAGAGCTGAGGGGCAGCGTTCAGGCCCAGAGTTCAAGCCCCATGACCAACAAAAAAAAAAGACCAGACAAATCTAAGCCAACAACTCTCCCGAATATACAGTGGATCAAAGAATTCTAATTTGAACTTAGGTCCATTGGCTTATATTTTGGGGCTGGGAAGGTGGCTCAGTGGTAGAGCGCTTGCCTTGCATGCATGAGGCCCTGGGTTCGATTCCTCAGCACCACATAAGTAAAAAGAAAATAGCCTGAAGTTGCGCTGTGGCTCAAGTGGTAGAGCGCTAGCCTTGAGCTGAAGAGCTGAGGGACAGAGTTCAGGCCCCACGACCAGACGCCCCCCCCCAAAAAAAAAACCCAAACCAAGTAGGGCGCCGGTGGCTCACACCTGTAATCCTAGCTGCTCAGGAGGCTGTTCAAAGCCAGGCTGGGCAGGAAAGTCCGTGAGGCTCTTATCTCCAATAAACCAGTAGAAAACCGGAAGTGGCTCTACCCAAGTGGTAAAGTGCTCGCCTTGAGCTGAAGAGCACAGGGACAGTGCACCCCGGCCCAGAGTTCAAACCCCATGACCAACTAAATAAATAAATAACAGCAAGAAGAAAACAATTTTAGAAGAATTTTTCCAAAGACTTGTGACTTCCATATTGAATGAAGGCACAGCGTTTTGTGAAAAAAATTGGTCTGAAAAGCATAAAGCTGGCAGCCTGATCTTCCTCTTAGTTTTTAAGCCCTACAATAAATCAAAGCTTTTGTTTTGGTCTGTCGTGGGGCTAGAACTCTAGGCCTGGGCGCGGTCTCTGAGCTCTTCAGCTCAAGGCAAGAGCTCTACCACTTGAGCCATAGTGCCACTTTTGGCCTTTTCTGTTTATGAGACGCTGAGGAATCGAACCCAGGGCCTCATGCATGGGAAACAAGCACTCTACCGCTGAGCCACCTTCCTAGCCTCTCAAAGTCTTTTGAATGAGAATTATGAACTTCCTTCATAACTAATTACAGTGTTCATATTTAAGCAAGTTTCCACAGGAAATAAAAATCACAAATCCAAGGAGCTGGTATTCTCATGATAGCTAGGTAAAGCATTACAGCACAGAATGAACTTCAGACTTTCTTCACTATGCACACCTTAATACACCCAGAGTGAAACATAAAAACAGCTACCTTGCTGGGAATGTGTCTTAGTGGTAAGAGTGCTTGCACGAAGCCCTAGGTTCGGATTCCTCAGTACCACAAAAACAGAAAAAGCTGGAAGTGTTTTTGTGGCAAAGTGCTAGAATGCTGTCTTTGAGCAAAAAAAAAAAAAAATCAAGGAGAGTGCCCAGGCCCTGGCCCTACAACCATCACCAACAAAAAAGCTACCTGAGAGGCAAACTCTCTACAAAACTTTTTTGTGGCTGGGGCCGGTGGCTCAAACCTGTAATCCTAGCTACTCAGGAGGCTGAGATCTGAGGATCACAGTTTAATGCCAGCCCCCCACGGGAAAGTCTGTGAGACTCTTATCTCCAATAAACCACCAGAAAACCAGATGTGGCGCTGTGGCTCAAGTGGTAGACATGGCACTGTGGCTCAAATGGTAGAGCACTGGCCTTGAGCTGAAGAGGGCAGGGACAGCGCCCAAGCCCAGAATTCAAGCCCCACAACCCACCAAAAAAAAAAAAAAAACAACAAATTTTGTTTTATAGTAATCAAATGCTTTCCAGCAAAATGTGCAACTCATTTAACAAATCTGCTTTGCTGCCTAACTTCAATTTACTAAATTCATCATAGCAAGTGAGAAATTCATAAAGTTAAAACTGGTTATACTAACCACCATATTAGATGGCTCCAAATGCATAATAGTCAAATGTGACCCTCTAAATGGATTATACCAGGTTCTTTCCATTTTATTCAAACAAAATACATTATAAATTCCGTAGAAGCACTTCCCATCTTAAAAAACAAACAAACAAAAAACACAAAGCTTCTAATCACCATCAGAAGGTGATGTTCAGGTTAATGTTTGCCTTAAAGCCACTGTCTGCTTAATGCTATCAAAGGTGACCCTTATCCAAGGGATGAGATCTGAGGATCGTGGTTTGAAGCCAGCCCGAGCAGAAAAGTTCATGAGACTCTTATCTCCCAATTAACCACCCAAAAGCCAGAAGTGGAGGTGTGGCTCATGTGGCGGAGGGTCGGCATGGAGAAAAAGGTCAGGGACGGTGTCTGGCCCTGAGTTCAAGCCCCAGTTCCCGCAGGCCCGCTCCCGCGCCCACCCACGCACGCACACACAAAAAGGTGATGTTTACTTAGTCCTGTTTGCCTTCGTGCTGCTTCTGTGAGCCTTCGTTCCAGGCTACATACACAAACCGCGCCAGCACGATGTGAACCGCCACCACCGCGACGATGGCAGCATAAAAATCACTGTCTCTGTTGGACATCCCGAGGGCGCCTCGGAACACGCAGGACGTGGTCGCGAAGTACAAGCCGATGGGAACCGTGATGATCAACGCGGTGAAGACCAGGAGCGTCTTCAGGCTGGACGGGAAGAAGTCTTCGTTCCCGAACGCGGGTGGCTGCAGGGCGTTCAGCGTCACTTTGTCCACGCGCTCCATGCTGTCGCCGAGGCGTGGGGAGCGCCGGCCAGCAGAGCCTCGGCGCGCGTCCGGTCCGGACCCGAGGCGCCGGAAGTACTCGAGGCTTTTTGCGGGACCCTCGCGGCGGAACTTTGGTACAAGTCTCGGGGCCAAACAGGCGGGGCCCGGGCCGGAAGTGCCCCTGCTTTCTGCGCGGCGCCGAGGGATGACGTAAGATGCCGGGGGCGGGGCTGGCCCTGGGAGCTTGAACTCAGAGCCGGGGCACTGTTCCTTAGCTCGTCTGTCTTTCTCTTTCCTCTTTCTCTCCTTTCTTTCTTTCTGTTGTGGGGCTTGAACTCTGGGCCTGGGCGCTGTCCCTCAGCTCTTCAGCTCAAGGCAAGCACTCTACCGCTTGAGCCACAGCGCCACTTCCGGTTTCTTGTGGTTTATTGGAGATGAGAGTCTCACAGACTTTCCTGCCTGGGCTGGCTTTGAACCACGATCCTCAGATCTCAGCCTCCTGAGAAGCTAGGATCACAGGCTGAGCCACCGGCACCCAACTGACAGACACATTCTTTACATGTTTCTCATTAAACCCCAGATATGGCGTCCTATAGTAGTTAAAAGTAACAGATGGCGCATTTTATCTTTTACCTTGCACAGTGGATTCAACGTCTGCCACGGCATCTTCACTTTCAGCTTCTGCGAGTTTTTCATTTATTTCCATTATTTCCATGAGGAACTGATTATCCATTTCATAGTCTGTTCCTTCGGGAATCTCTATTCCATGGAGCTTTAGCTATAAGGGCAGAAAATAAGTTTGATTCAAGAAACTAAGGCCAGAGAGGTAATAATCTTAGATGTGGGAAGAACTTGAATATCAGTGCTAGAGCTCTAGAGTAGCAATTAGGAGGTTCTAAATTCAAAGCTTAAAACTGAGGGTGGGAGGAGAGTGAAAAAGATAAGGTTGGGAAATCACCTTACAAGATATAGTCCTCTGCTCAGGGGAGCCAGTAGGGTCTTATAGGCATCATTCACCAGAGTGGAATGCTTCTCTGAGAAGTCCTTTTCAGTCTGTTAGTGGAGATGAAGACAGTCTTATTATCATTGGACCCAGCCCTTTGTAACATGCTGATGGGCAGGCATCTAAGAAAGTATGGCCAAAATAAAAGTGGTGTTTGGTGAGGTATATCCATCAACCAATGGATTCTAAGTTGTCTGGGAAGTCAGATAAAAGCTGTAAGTGACATCTCCGGACTTTAGCTGGCTGGGGATCTTGCCACAGGTGGAGGTGGTAGGCAAACTCTGTTCCTGATCATCACTATAACCACAGGCCACTGCCTCTCCCCAGTGCACACAAGTTGGGGAAAAATTGGGGGTCCCAATAAACTACCTGAGACTTCTGGCTGAAGAAATCTGGGTGGATAAGACGTTGTAGCTGCTGATACCTGTTCTGGAGTTTGGTGGTGTCAATTTTGAAGGATCGGTTGCTAGAAGGAAATTGGGAGACAAAAATACAGGGTTTGGGGGCTGGGAAGGTGGCTCAGTGGTAGAGCGCTTGCCTTGCATGCTCAAGGCCCTGGGTTCGATTCCTCAGCACCACATAAGCAAAAAGAAAAAAGCCGGAAGTGGCACTGTGGTTCAAGTGGTAGAGCGCTAGCCTTGAGCTGAAGAGCTGAGGGCCAGCGCCCAGGCCCAGAGTTCAGGCCCCACAACCAGCCCCCCCCCAAAAAAAAAAAACAGGTTTTTTTTTTTTTTGTTGGTCCTGGGGCTTGAACTCTGAGCCTGAGCACTGTCCCTCAGCTCTTCAGCTCAAACAGCTCACTTCCGGTTTTCTAGTGGTTTATTGGAGATAAGAGTTTCACGGACATTCCTGCCAGGGCTGGCTTTGAACCCCAATGCTCAGATCTCAGCCTCCTGAGTAGCTAGGATTACAGGCGTGAGCCATCAGCGCCCGGCTTGCCTATAATCTTAGCAACCCAGGAGGATGAGACTAAGAATCATCGTTGGAAGTCAGCTTGAGCAGACATATCCATGAGACTCTTATCTACAACTAAACAGCAAAAAGCTGGAAGTGGAGCTTTGGCTCAAGTGCCAGCTATGAGCTGGAGGCCCTGAGTTCCATCCCCAGTACTGGCAATAAAACAAACAAAAAAAAACCCTGGAAACAATATTGCCATCTTGACAATTTAAAGGGTAATGTGATGCAGCCCATTCATTATAAGTGCTCAGGGATTGGGGAACATTATGTAGTTAAGGCAAAGGGACATTTGTGCACCTTCTCTTTCTTTCTTTCTTTTTTTTTTTTTGGTCCGGTTGTGGGGCCTGAACTCTGGGCCTGAGTGCTGTCCCTCAGCTCTTCAGCTTAAGGCTAGCACTCTACCACTTGAGCCACAGCGCCACTTCCGGCTTTTTTTTTCTTTTTGCTTATATGGTGCTGAGGAATCGAACCCAGGGCCTCAGGCATGCAAGGCAAGTGCTCTACCACTGAGCCAACTTCCCAACCCTTCTCTGTCTTTCTATTGGCTAGGTCCCTTCATCCCTGTTTCCCCAACCCTTTCTTTGGTATGGGGGGGGGGTTGGTTGCAGGGCCTAGGCAATAGCTTTACCATTGAGCCACATCCCTAGCTCTTTTACATTTTAACACAGGTTCTTGCTAAATTACCCAGGGTAGTCTTGAATTTGCAGTCCTGCCACCTTAGTCTCCTGAGTAGTTCAGATTACAAATGTGAACCAGCAGGGTGGGCCATGAATATTTAGAGTCCTCTCTTTGTATTGTTTTTTTTAGTTTATTTGTCAGTCCTGAGGCTTGAACTCAGGGCCTGGGCACTGTCCCTTAAGCTTCTTTTGCTCAAGGCTAACACTCTACCACTAGAGCCACAGCGCCATTTATGGCTTTTTCAGTTTAAGTGTTACTGAGGAATTGAAAGCAGATGTTCATGCTAGGCAAGCCCTCTACTACTAATCCATATTCCCAGCCCCTGTATTTTGTTTGTGTGTGTGTGTGTGTGTGTGTGTGTTGGTTGTGGGGCTTGAACTCTGGGCCTAGGTGCTGTCCCTCAGCTATTCAGCTCAAGGCTACCACTTGAGCCACAGTGGCACTTCTGGTGTTCTGGTGGTTTACTGGAGATAAGAGTTTCATGGACTTTCCTGCCTGGGCTGGATTTGAACTGTGATCCTCAGATCTCAGCCTCCTGAGTAGCTAGGATTACAGGCGGGAGTCATGGTGCCTGGCTCCTGTATTGGGTTTTTAAAGCTGGATCCCCATGTGCAGAATAGGCAAGGACTTTACTGCTGAGTTATGGTCCCAGTTTCCATTTTAATTTCTCTTCTTCTTCTCCTCCTCCTCCTCTTCCCTCCTCTTCTTCTTTTTGTTGGTCATAGAACTTGAACTCAGGGGCTTGGCCACTGTCCCTGAGTTTTTTTCAGTCAAGGCTAGCATTCTACCACTTTGAGCCACAGCTCCACTTCTGGTTTTCTGGAAGTTAATTGGAGATAAGAGTCTGACAGACTTTCCTGCCTGGGCTGGCTTCCAACCATCGACCTCAGATCTCAGCTTTCTAAATAGCTAGTATTACAGGTGTAAGCCACCAACACATGGCTAAAATTTTTATTTATTTATTATTATTATTTATTTTTTGTCGGTTGTGGGGCTTGAACTCTGGGTCTGGGCACTGTCCCTCATCTCTTCAGCTCAAGGCGAGCACTCGAGCCACAGCGCTACTTCTGGTTTTCTGAGTAACTAGGATTATAGGCTTGAGCTACTGGCGTCCAGCTATTATTTAAGTAGTTGTACACGATGTTTCAATTCAGCAAATCAGTTTACAAGTACAATGCATCTTGATCAATGTCACCCTATCAATTACTCTCCCTCCATCACAGCTTTTTTTTTTTTTGGTCCGGTTGTGGGGCCTGAACTCTGGGCCTGAGCACTGTCCCTCAGCTCTTCAGCTCAAGGCTAGTAGTGCTCTACCACTTGAGCCACAGCGCCACTTCTGGCTTTTTTCTTTTTGCTTATGTGGTGCTGAGGAATCGAACCCAGGGCCTCAGGCATGCAAGGCAAGTGCTCTCTCTACCACTGAGCCAACTTCCCAGCCCAGCTTTTTTTTTTTTTTTTGGGTCCGGTCATGGGGCCTGAACTCTGGGCCTGGGCGCTGGCCCTCAGCTCTTCAGCTCAAGGCTAGCGCTCTACCACTTGAGCCACAGCGCCACTTCCGGCTTTTTTCTGTTTGCTTATGTGGTGCTGAGGAATCGAACCCAGGGTCTTGAGCATGCAAGGCAAGCGCTCTACCACTGAGCCAACTTCCCAGCCAGCTTTTTTTTTTTTTTAATCTAGGATTTTTTCTACCTCCACAGCTTGCTCCATTTCCTCTCTGGTTCTGCCCACATGTTCCCACCTCTCCAGTCTCAACCTTCAGGGGAAAAAGGAGTAAAGAAGATCCCGCTTATTGGGCTTTTTCCCGCTAATTCACAATGCCCCTTAGATTTTGCCTACATTTGTGTGTGCACGAGCCTTTACTTCCATATATATTGTGGACTTACTTTTATGGTGTGGGGTTCGAACCCTTAAACATACAAGCTACGCAAGCACCACATTCCCAGAGCTTGTTCCTTACATAACCTTGGGCTTTATACGTCAGCACTTTCTTTTTTGGACGGGTAGAGTTTACTGGAGGCTTGAACTCAGGGCCATGCGTTTGCCTGGTCAGGCGCAACCTCGCAGGACATCACGCCTCCAGCCATGCCAGCACCCCTTTCTTAAAGAGCTCAACCCAACGTCCCCATTTTTTGAGCCCGTTCCTTCCCTCAAGCTCGGGTCCTCGGCATCTACCCTTTGGCCATGGGCTCGCCCCTCAAGTCTCCCCTCGCAGTCACTGACTCAGTCGCTCCACGACTCTCTCCCCTCTCCCTTCCTCTACCTCCCTTCCAGAACATCGCTTCCAAGGGGTCGGTCTCCGCCCCTTCACTTCCTCTGTTTTCCGGGTACTTCCCCAAGCCCGCCTCTCTAGGGCTACGCCCACCTGCCTCAGGAGCAGTCGGGGTCCTTCAGAGCCGGCTGGGCTCTGTCCTTCCCTCCCCTCCTCTCCTCCATCCTCCCCCCCTTCTCTCCCCTCCCCTCCCCGACCCCTGACGTCTCCCGGAGCCCGCCCGCCTCCCGGCACCATCGCTTGTACCAATCCATCAGGCTGAAGTAGTCTCGCGTGGGGTCAGGAGGCTGCAGCGCGCGGCACCGCGGGCAGAAGAACCCGTCCCCACGTCCGGTGTCCCCGCAGTGCCAGCATCGTGCCCAATTGCTTCCCGCCTGAGAGGCAGCATGGCTGCGTAGCAGTCGCCTTCCGGGGACCCCAGCCGGCTGCAACCCCCTTAGCCGAAGCGAGGCCCCGGCCTTCCAGACCCACATCTGGTTCAGCGGCCTAAGTCACCAGGGTCACTACTGCTGGAGAGGCAGTGATGGACCCGACGAATACTGCTGATTGGCTGTAGAGCTGAGGGGGCGGGACCCGCTGGGAGGGGGTGTATGGGAAACCAGGATGTTGAATCTCGTTCCGCACTCTACAACTACAACTCCCAGCGGGCATCGAGGCTACGCGAGGCGGTACAATTCGTCGCATCTCATTGGGCTGGCGGCGGCGGAGGGCGTTTTGATTGGTTGAGGGTGGAGTTTGTATTTGCAGGTTTAGCGCCACACGGCTTAGTTGGGACTGTGGGGACCTTGCGGTTTTAGGTGGGCTGTCGTGGTGAGTGAGTCATCATTGGGAAATTTCTCTTGGGTAGTTAGGGGTTCGGATCCTGACTTCAGAGCTTTGTGCAAGTGGGACCTTTCAGACTTCCTCTTTGTATGGATTTTTGGGCTGTTGGGGGAGGGAGTGCGGAGGCGACTCTTCCTTCCTAAATAATCTAGATGTAAACACACTTTTCCTGCTAATTAACGGGTTGAGCCACTGGTCAGGACATATAGGATGAGAAGGAACAGTTGCTCTCTTCAATCAATCAGAAATTACGTTGTAAAGAGTTCTAGAAATGCTAGTAATCGTTACAATTCTCTAGATCCAATCCCTCAAACACTCCCAGTTCCTGGGCTACAGGAATTGGGAGAGCCCTGGTGGGTTCATGGATGTCCCCAGTGACCATAGTTAGGGTGAGAGATGAGGTCCCGAGGGTAGAGAAGAGGGAACTAGCTTTCCTTCGGACTATTTGAAGCAAAGGTTGGAATTCTTTTTTTTTTCAGTCTGAATTTTTGCTGCGGTTACTTTTCACTACAGGCCTTCCAAGAGCAGCATACAGTTGGCATATATTAAAAGGGGGAGGAGCCCTGTATTTCTCACTTCATTTAATCCTTATGATTTATCTGCTTGTTTTCAGATGAGAGGAACGGGCTCAAGGCAATTGTGAGCTATTTAAAGTAATATTGACTTTAGACTTGTCTGCTTCTAACCTCTTTACGTGTGTGTGTGCCGGTACTGGGACTTAGGACCCTCATGCTTTCCTTTGGCCCTTTCACTCGAGCCTGATGCTCTACCATTTGAGCACCACTTCCAGTCTTCTTTTGCTAGTTAATTGGAAATAAGAGTCTCACCGACTTTCCTGCCCTGCCTGGCTTTGGTCCTCAGCCTCCTAAGTATCTAGGATTACAGATGAGAGTGAGCCTCTTGTGCCTGTTTGTTTTAGGATTTCTTTTATCTTGAAAGCTGTGTAAATGCAGTTGGTCTGGAATAATGTTTATAAGCCTAGAGTTTGGGGAAGAATGAGGATAGGAGGAAGTCTAATAGGTAGGTGGTAATGGAAAGTAACTTGGATTATCTACTGGTGGTTCTGTTTTAAGAGTAAAAGTGACCATCAAATTCATTTGGGTGGGAGCTTCTGTTTAGGTCTAACTCCTTCACTTTCCTTCCTGGCCACTAAGCCATTTAGGAAGCTGTTATTCCAGCCCTGTAGTTAGCATCACAAAAGGGTTAGGTGGGTTGTTTGGGAGAATTGTCTTTTCTACTGCTGGTGGTGACTAAGCATCTTTGAAGTCGTGGAACCGGGAATGAGCCAACCAGAATTGGTTCCTAAACTGGGCAGCTGCATGGGAATAAAAGGAGAGTAACTGAAAGACTTTGTAAACCATCTCCCAGCTGTGGTGGAGGAATACTTTTTCCCTGTCTTCTTTCCCAGCCTCCTGACCCTTCCTCTTCTTTCCTTTTTAAAAATGTATGTGGGGGCTGGGAAGGTGGCTCAGTGGCAGTGCTTGCCTTGCATGCCTGAAGCCCTGGGTTCGATTCCTCAGCACCACATAAGCAAAAAGAAAAAAATGCCGGAAGTGGCGCTGTGGCTCAAGTGGTAGAGCGCTAGCCTTGAGCTGAAGAGCTGAGGGACAGCGTCCAGGCCCAGAGTTCAGGCCCCATGACTGGACCCAAAAAATAAAAAAATAAAAATAAAAATGTATGTGATCCAGGCACCTGTGGCTCATGCCTGTAATCCTAGTTACTCAGGAGGCTGAGTGTGAGGATCTCAGTTCAAAGCCAGCCCGGGCAGGAAAAGCTGTGAAACTCTTTTTTTTTTTTTTCGGTCGGTCGTGGGGCTTGAACTCTGGGGCCTGGGCGCTGTCCCTCAGCTCTTCAGCTCAAGGCAGGCCACTTGAGCTACAGTGCCACTTCCGGTTTTCTGGTGGTTTATTGGAGATAGGAGTCTCACGGTCTTTCCTGCCCGGGCTGGCTTTGAACCTCGATCCTCAGATCTCAGCCTCCTGAGTAGCTAGGATTACAGGCGTGAGCCACCAGCGCCCGGCAAGCTGTGAAACTCTTATCTCCAATAAACCACCAGAAAACCAGAAGTGGTGCTGTGGCTTAAGTGGTAGAGTGCTCACTTTGGGCTGAAGATCTGACAGCGTCCAAGCCCAGAGTTCAAGCCTCACGACCGACAAAAAAAAAAAAAAAAGTATGTGAACTTTAAATAAATGTACTGTTGATTATATTACCAAGTTTAATTCCTAATTAAAAAAAACTTTAATACAAATTCTTAGGAGCCTTCCCTTCACCCCGTTTTCACTATTTTTTTTTTTTTGCCCATCCTGGATCTTGAACTCATGGCCTGGGCACTGTCCTTGAGCCTCTCTGTGCTCAAGGCTAGCACTCTACCACTTGAGCCACAGTGCCACTGTCGGCTTTTTCTGTTTATGTGATACTGAGGAATGGAACCCAGGGATTCCTGCATGCTAGGCAAGCAAGCACTCTATCACTGAGCCACATTTCCAGCCCCTTCACTACTTTTATTTGTAACCTTCAAGTAATATCTTTTTGTATCTTTGCATGTGGTTTATGGTTACTAGACAGCAAACTGGTCCTGATGAAAGTGGTCTTATAAAAGACTCAGCTTAGAAGAACTTTAAATCTGGACAATGGGATTAAAATCCTAAACAGGCCTTTACTTTTTGTAGAGCACGTTTGCTGTGGGTTCTTTCTTAGCCATCAAAAGTACTGCTGTCACCAAGCACCAGTGGCTCACACCTGTAATCCTACCTACTCAGGAGTCTGAGATCTGAGGATTGTGGTTTGAAGCCAGCCTGGGGCAGAAAAGCCCTTGTGAGACTCTTTAGCTCCAATTAACTACTCAAAAACTGGTAGTGGTGCTGTGGCTCAAAGTGGTAGAGCACTAGATTTGTGCAAAAACAGCTCTGGGCTCAAAGTGGTAGAGCACTAGCTTTGTGCAAAAAGAGCTCTGGGACAGGGCCCAGGCCGTGAGTTCAAGCCCTATGACTAACAAAAAAATTTATATATATGTATGTATGTATTGCTGTTCCTCCTTTTTTTTGTGTGTTGCTCTTAGGCTTGAACTCAGGGCCTGGCCTCTGTCCTTAAGTTTTTGTGCTCAAGGCTAGTGCTCTATCATTTGAGCCACAGTTCTACTTTCTGCTTTTTGGTGGTTACTTGAAGATAAAAGTCTTCTGGACTTTTTAGCTAGGCTGACTTTGAGCTGTAATCCTCAGATCTCATCCTCCTGAGTAGTTGGGATTACAAGTGTAGCCACTGATGCCTGGCCCCCTTTAATTTTGGTGGTGCTGGAGAACCAACCTGGGACCTTGTACATGCTAGGCAAGTCCTCTACCACTGAGCTACACAGTCCCAGCCCTATTCTTCACCCCCACCTTTTCTTGTGTGTCTTCTTTACCTCTCTGGGGCTTGAACTCAGGGCCTAGGTTTCATCCCTTAGCTTCTTCTCTCAGAGCTGTCAGTCTATCACATGAACCATACCTCCACTTTTGATTTTTGCTGTTCTGTTGGAAAGAAGAGTCTCAGACTTTTCTACCCAGGCTGGCTTCAAACCTCAATCCTCAGATCTCAGCTTCCTGATTAGTTGGGTTAAAAGGGCTTGAGTCACTCTTCATTCTTTACTCAAACTTCAAGTCTTGCTCCTTAAAACTCACCTTATTGTTGGTCATTTGCTTCTTCAGATCATAATGTCCAGAGAGAAGGATGCGGAGAGTCAGCAGTCCCAGGGCAGCACCTCCTCCCAGGCCCATGGCTCTAGTGCCTCTTCACAGTCCCAAGGCATCTTCCCCCAGTCCCAAGGCTTTTCCCAGTCCCAAGGCACATCCAGCTCCTCCACCAGCACCGCACCCACCTCCAGCCAGTCTTCTCACTCCAGCTCTGGGACCATGAGCTCCTTAGAGACAGTATCCACTCAGGAACTCTATTCAATTCCTGAGGACCAGGAGCCCGAGGAGCCTGTTCCTGCCCCTTGGGCTCGATTATGGGCCCTTCAGGATGGATTCTCCAATCTTGGTAAGACGTTGGGTTATATATAGTACATTGTGTTATTCAGAAAAATAATTCTAGAAGGTTGTTGCAGCAAAAAATCTTAGAATGCTCAGGAATGATTCTGGAGTTTGGAGATGAGGCAAGAAAAAAAACGAGAGAAGCAGTGATGGGCAGCCTTCCACCTGCTGTGGACTCCATGTTTTCTTTTAGTAAATATCCGTGAAGCCTTCACAATGTGCTGTCCATCTGAGGCGAGCCTGTGGACCTCTTTCTATCCATGCAGTCATGCATGCTTGCATGACTTCTGCCATAGTTGTTCTGCTTCAAACCATCAGTGCGGTTCAGAACAGGGAAATCCAGGTTGGCATGGAACTTGTGATCTTCCTGCCTCAGCCTCTCTATGCTGGGATTACATCTATGTCCCGCCATGCCTGCTAGTCTTTGTGTTTTGCAAAGCATTTTAGTGTAGGCATACTTATTTCTGCAAAGACCTGCCATTATTGGTTTGATAGAGATTGTGTTGATTTGTAGTCAGATGGAGGTATTGCCTTAACAATAGTCAGTATTAGGGCTGGGAAGGTGGCTCAGTGGTAGAGCGCTTACCTTGCAATGCATGAGACCCTGAGTTTGATTCCTCAGCACCACATAAGCAAAAAGAAAAAAGCCGGAAGTGGCGCTGTGGCTCAAGCAGTAGAGTGCTAGCCTTGAGCTGAAGAGCTGAGGGACAGCGCCCAGACCCAGAGTTCAGGCCCCACAACCAGACCCAAAAAAACAAACAAACAAAAAAAATAGTCAGTATTTCAGTTCATGCATATATTACACACACATATACACACACATATAGACTTTTAACTTTTTTCGTGTTTTGTAGTTTTCAGAATGCAAAATTGGCACCTTTTTAGTTAAATTTGCCTGTGTGTTTTAGTACGTTTTTGCTTTTATTAATGGAATTATTTTTAGAATTTTATTTTAGATTTTTTTCATTAGTAATATATACAAGTTCAACTAGGATTGTTTTTTGGCAGTATCAGGTTTAAACTCAGGTCCACTTGCTTGCTAGGCAGGTACTCTACCACTGAGCCATGCACTCACCTACAAATGATATGTAATTATCTGTGTAGTAGAATGTTGAATAGGAGTGAAGAGAGTTAACATCCTTGGGCTTGTTTCTGATGCTAGGGGAGCTTTCATTTTTACTACTAAGTATGGTGATATCTGGATATTTTGTAAGTACCCTTTCCCAAGTTGAGAAAGCTCCCTTTTATTTATTAGTTTTCTGAGTATTGTGACTATTGAGATGATCTTGTTTTTCCCATGGGTTTGAGTGTCATGTACTAAATTAATTGATTTTTCAGATATTAAATTAGCTATACTTTCCTGGTCTAATAGAGTGTGTGTGATATGTATATATAGTGTATATATAGTATATATAAAAAATATATATGTATATATAGTGACGTCTTGCCGAGATTGATCTTTTTTTTTCTGGGGCTTGAACTCACGGTCTTTGCACTGTTACTGAGCTTGTTTTGCTCAAGGCTAGCACTCTTCCACTTGGGCCACAGCATCATATCTGGCTTTTTCTGTATATGTGGTACTGAGGAATCAAACCCAGGGCTTCATGTATGCTAGGCGAGCACTCTACACTAAGCCATATTCCCTGCCCCCAGGTTGATCTTGAACTTGTGAGCTCAAATGATCCTCTTGCTTCAGCCTCCAGAATAGCTAGGACTATATAGCCTTGTACCACCACACCTAGATTTTCTTTTCCCCAATACATTGCTGGATGCAGTTTACTGCTATTTTGTTGATGATTATTGTATCTGCATTCAAAAAAGATTTTGGTTTATAGTTTTTTCTGATGTTTTTGTCTGGTTTTGGTGTGTGTCACCATTTTGCTGGCCTTAAGTCAGGCCTATTTCTTGGAAAAGTCTGAGAAGAATAAGGAGTAATTTTTTTTTTATTTTTTTGGTCGGTTGTGGGACTTGAACTCTGGGCACTGTCCCTGAGCTCTTCAGCTCACAGCCAGTGCTCTACCACTTGAGCCACAGTGCCACTTCCGGTTTTCTGGTGGTTAATTGGAGATAAGGAGTCCCACAGACTTTCCTGCCTGGGCTGGCTTCGAACCAGGATCCGCAGCCCTCAGCCTCCTGAGTAGCTAGGATTATAGGCATGAACCACTGGTGTCTGGCCGCTTAGTTTTTTTTTTCTTTAAATTGTGAAAATACCATACAGAGGGGTTACAATTACATGAGCAAGGTAATGAGTACATTTCTTATCAAGCATTGTTGCCTCCTCCTTTGTTTCCCCTTACCATCCCTTCTCATCTCCTCCCCCTTCCCCCCAGATGTAGTTTTTGTTTGTTTTTTGCTGGTCCTGGGCTTAAACTTGGCCTGGGCACTGTTCCTCAAGGCTAGTGCTCTACCACTGGCCACAGCGCCACTGCCCAGAATGCAAAGTTCTTTATCACCATGAATGGGGGAAAAAACAGAGAAATTTCAATGGTTGCTTGCTATTTCATGGTTATCCATAAGTCACACTTATTGAACTCTCTGTATTAAATATTTGTTTTTGGCTATGTTGGGGAGCATGTGTCAGCTGGAGGAGGGGGAATGGAGGCCATAAATGTGGGTGAATATGGTTGGAGTACTTTTACGTGTATGTATAAAAATGGAACAATGAAACCTATTGAATTGTTTTAAAAAGTGGGGATGAGTAGAGAATGATAGAGGGGGTGAGGCTGATGATGTCCATTGTCTGCATGTATGGAAATGTCACAACCAACTCTCCCTCCCTTGAGCAACTAACATGCTAATAAAAATGTTAATTTTTTTCTGGAGCATAAAAGAATATAATAGGGGATGAATATGATCAAAGGACATCATATTTATTTTTCATCACTTATTTCTGTATTTATTTTGGTGTTGGTACTGGAGCTTGAATTCAGAGTCTGCGCACTATTTAGCTTTTCTAATTAAGCCTGGTATTCTTCCACTTGATTCATACCTCCAGTTCTGACTTTTTTTTCTTGCCAGTCCTGGGCTTGAACTCAGGCCCTGGGTATTGTCCCTGTGCTTGTTTTCCTGCAGGCTAGCACTCTTCCACTTAAGCCATGGACTTGAGTCTCATGGATTTTTCTGCCCTGGCTGACTTTGAACCACAATCCTTAGATCTCAGCCTCCTGAGTAGTTAGGAATATAGGTGTGAGCCACAGGCATGAACCACTGGTGCTAGACTTTTTTTTTTTTAACTCAATTTGTATGAAAGGGTTGCCAGCTCATAAGTTAGGTAATGAACACATTTATTTTTTAAACAATATTATTCTGTCCCTCAGTTTCCCCCCCTCCTGTCCCTGCTCACTAGTTACATAGTTAATTTTCCACATAGTGTATACTGAATAGCATGACTACATTTTTCACACTTTTTTTTTTTTTTTTTTTGGGTTGGGTTGTGGGGCCTGAACTCTGGGCCTGGGCGCTGTCCCTCAGCTCTTCAGCTCAAGGCTAGCGCTCTACCACTTGAGCCACAGCGCCACTTGCGGCTTTTTTCTTTTTTGCTTATGTGGTGCTGAGGAATCAAACCCAGGGCCTCAGGCATGCAAGGCAGGCGCTCTACCACTGAGCCATCTTCTCAGCCCACACTTTTTTTTTTAATGTGCCCATACTGAGACTTGAATTCAGTACCTACTCTCTTATACATCTGGCACTCTTACCACTTGGGCCATGCTTCCAGTTTGTGGTTGGGTATTAAACTGAAGCTTTGAGCTAGGTGATACCACAAAGCCACCTTCCTTAAAAAAGAAATCCTGCTAATGGAGTCTGTACTCCCTTTCAGGCGGTTTTCGTCCCATAGATTTTCTGAGCACTTTGAAGGGTATGTGATACATGAAATTCAAGTGTCTGGCATGTGCTTTCCTATTCCAGACTGTGTTAATGACAGCTACTGGTTTGGGAGGGATAAAAGCTGTGAATATTGCTTTGACGAACCACTGCTGAAAAGATCGGATAAGTACCGGACCTATAGCAAGAAACACTTCCGGATTTTCAGGGTAGGTCACCAGTGTCCATTGATATGGATTGGGGGGAACTGATGGCTCTTGGGTATCTTCCTTCTATCAAGTCTCTGCTGTTAAAACTTGGAAATAAAATATTCTGTTTCAGGAAATGGGTCCTAAAAACTCTTACATCGCATACATAGAAGATCACAGTGGGAATGGAACCTTTGTAAATACAGAGCTTGTAGGGAAAGGAAAACGCCGCCCTTTGAGTAACAACTCTGAAATTGCACTTTCACTATGTAGAAATAAAGGTAATCTTATTTTACGGCTACTGGATTAAATAAAAACAAAACACCTCCTATGTGAAAGGAAAACTGACTTTGTGTTCTTATGGCATATGGCTTAAGTAAAATCAAGTAAGTTAATATTCAAGATTTAACCCTGGTGTCTTGGTTATATTTTTGAGTTATGAAAAAGTTGTATCCAGGGTAGGGTATACCCTAGATGCCTTTCATCCCAGATACTTTGGAGGCATAGATTAGGAAGTTTGCAGTTAAAGACCAGCCTAGGGGCTGGGAAGGTGGCTCAGTGGTAGAGTGCTTGCCTTGCATGCATGAGGCCCTGGGTTTGATTCCTCAGCACCACATAAATGGAAAAAGCCAGAAGTGGCTCTGTGGCTCAAGTGGTAGAGTGCTAGCCTTGAGCTGAAGAGCTGAGGGTCAGCGCCCAGGCCCAGAGTTCAGGCCCCAAGACTGGCCAAAAAAAAGACCAGCCTCAGCAAAATATTGGAGATATTCCTGTCTTGAGAAACATGCCAGGCATGGTGTTCATATCTGCCATCTCTGCTATTTGGGAGGTATAGGTAGGAGGATCATGGTCCAAACTGACCATTGGCAAAAAACAAAACAAAACAACAACAAAAAACAACCCAGGAGACCCTATATGAAAAATGGCCGAAAGCAAAAGAGGCATGGCTTAAGCGTAGAATGTCTGCTTACCAAATGAAGTTGAGTTCAAACCCCGATACCACCAAAGAAATGAATAAGTAAAACAAAATATAGTAAAATAAAGCAAGTAAAATAAAAACTTGTGTTCAGAGAGGTTTGTTTTTTTTTTTGTCAGTAGTGGGGCTTGAACTCTGGGGCTGGGCGCTGTCCCTGAGCTCTTCAGCTAAATGTGAGTGTTCTACCACTTGAGCCACAGTGCCACTTCTGGTTTTCTGGTGGTTAATTGGAGATAAGAGTCTCACAGACTTTCCTTCCCCGGGCTGGCTTTGAACCTCGATCCTCAGATCTCAGCCTTCTGAGTAGCTAGGATTACAGGCGTATGTCACTGGTGCCTGGCTTCAGAAGAGGGTTTTTTTTTTGTTGTTGTTTAATAGATTGGATTGGTTTTATTTAAAGCCATACACTGTCAATTATATTATGCTGATTTTAGTTCATTGATAGATTCAGTTTATACACATCAGTCTTAGGTATCTGAATTGTTTCAGGCTACTAATTTTATTCATTCTCCCTCCCTTCCTTCCTTTTTCCCACTTTCTTCCCTCCCTTATTCTTCCCTTCATTTCTTTGTTCATTCATTTTGAGGTATACTTACTAAGCTCCTTTTATATCCCAGGCACCAGGCTGTGGATATGTCTCTGAGTTGTCAGCCCCACTGTTTGTCCTTTTACTCTGCTGGGTATCTTACATGGCAGGCAAATGCTTTGCAAATGACCCCCCCCCCCCAGCCTTCTACTGCCGTGAATACCACATAGTAACTCTGGTAACAGGAGATGTTCACTGCTCTTATCAGGTAGCATTTTACAAACACCTAAAATTTTATGAATACATATCTAAAACAGTTATTCAGGTCAAAATCTAGAATGAACAACTGAAAAAAAAAGTGACTTACAAGTTGAGCATGATGGAGTATACTTATAATCCCAGCTTTAGGAGGTGGAGGCAGGAGGATTTTGAAATGAAGTGCCAGACTGGACTATATAATATGACCCTGCATAAAATTCCAAAAAGCAACCTTTTTTTGTTTAGTTTTTTGTTGTTTATGTGATTCTGAACCCAGTGCTTCATGCATGCGAGGCAAGCACTCTGCTATTAAGCCACATTCCCAGCCCCCTGCACAATGTCTTACAGAGTTAAAAGTCAAGCTTGATGTCTACATTTAGGCAACTGAGTTTCCCTCTGAATGAAGCAGACTTTGAAGTTTGGAATGATACATGCTCAAAGCTCACATTTATCAGTTCTCCCATGTTGCTGGAATCAGAGGCTAGAAATTAGTCATGCCTGTAATCCTAGCTACTCAGAAGGCTGAGATCTGAAGATGGTGGTTCAAAGCCAGCCCGGGCAGGAAAGTTTGTGAGACTTTTATCTCCAATAAACCGCTAGAAAACTGGAAGTGGTGCTGTTGCTCAAGCGGTAGAGCGCTTGCCTTGAGCACAATGACAGCGCCTGAGCCCAGAGTTCAAGCCCCACGACGAAAAAAAAGAAAGAAAGAAATTACCTGGACAGTTATTCCTGGCTTGAAATGTTTAGTAATTGTACACAGAATTGGCCAAAATTGGGTGGTTAAGTTATTGAATCAGTAGTTCTTTTGTAGTTTTGTTTTTGTTTTGTGGTCAGTACCAGGACTTGAACTCCAGGGCCTCATGTTCTTGCTCACATGTGGTGCTCTGCCTTGAATCATGCTTCCAATCCTGTGTTTTGCTAGTGAGTTGGAGTCTTTTGGACTTTTCTGCCTGGGTTGATTTTGTATCTGGTTTTTTAGATCTCAGCCTCCTGTGTAGCTAGAATTACAGGTGTGAACTGTTGGGCTTTGGCATGGGTTTTCTTTTTCTTTTCTTTTATCTTAGAGCCTAACAATTGGGGTGATAAAAGGGATTTGTTTAGAGAGTGCTATTTGTTTAACTTCCTGAAGAAGCTTAAGATAGTTGGTACTAAAAGATACCAGACGAATAAAAGTACTAGTGCCTGGGAGAAGATGGTAATACTAGTATGAAGACAGGTAGTCTAATTTTTACTGGGATGTGGACTTGACTAGGATAGCTTTCCTAGGCTAGATCATTGGCTTTTTGGTTCTGGGCCTTTGGTAATCTCTTGGTATTTTATTACAGTTGATTAGTATTCTGAAGTCCATGAACCTCAAAAGAATTAATGGTGCTGGTTTCTCACACTTTGGAGAGAACTGTACTGTATATTTCCATTAAAAAAATGGAAATTAGCTGGGTGCCAGTGGCTCATGCCTGTCATCCTGTCTACTCCGGAGGCTGAGATCTAAGATCGGTGGTTGGAAGCCAGCCTGGGCAGGAAAGTCCATGAGATTCTTATCTTCAGTTAATCACTAAAAATCCTTAAGTAGAGCTATGGCTCAAGTGGTAGAGTGTTAACCTTTCAGCAAAAGAAGCTCAGGGACAGTGCCTAGGCCCTGAGTTCAAGCCCTAGGACCAGCACAAAATAAAAAAGAAAAGAAAAAGGAATTTGACTTATTCTGTGATACTAGTTAGCTTTGCTGACTTACTCTTTTAGGATTACGTATTAAATACAACTTAAAACAGTTGTCTTATATTTTCTGTGGCAACTGGATTTTAGAACCACCTACCTAATTGGATGAATTAATACGCCCACTTTCTGCCCATTTTTCTCCTTAGTTTTCGTATTTTTTGATCTGACTGTGGATGATCAGTCAGTTTATCCTAAGGAATTAAGAGATGAATACATCGTGTCAAAAACTCTTGGAAGGTAAATTATTGTCCTTATATAACAAATTGCATTTTAAATCACATTTGTCATTAGTTTTTATAATTTGATATTACAATATTCATTTTTTTATTTATAAAGTGGCTACATGGCAGCTTTTTGTAATAGGTTTATTAGTTATTTTTAAATTAAATTAATAATACTATTATTCTTTTTAATTTTTTTGGTGCCTGTGCATGGGCTTGAACTCAGGGCCTGGGCACTGATTCTGATCTTTTTTGCTCAAGGCTAGTACTCTACTACTTAACCACAGCTCCACTTCTGGCTTTTTTGGTAGTTAATTGGAGATAAGAGTTTCTTGGGCCAGGTGCCGGTGGCTCACGCCTGTAATCCTAGCTACTCAGGAGGCTGAGATCTGAGGATCGTGGTTCAAAGCTAGCCCAGGCAGGAAAGTCTGTGAAACTCTTCATCTCCAATAAACCACCAGAAAACCGGAAGTGGTGCTGTGGCTCAAGTGGTGGAGCTCTAGCCTTGAGCTCAAGACGGGAGGGACAGTGCTCAGGCCCAGAGTTCAAGCCCCACAACAACCACCACCACCACCAACAACAAAAAGAGTTTCATGGACTGAACTGCCTGAGCTAGCCTTGAGCCTCAATCCTTAACTCAGCCTCCTGAGTAGTTAGAATTATCGGTGGGAAGACCAGCACCCAGCTTGATACTAGAGATCAAATTCAAGGTTCTGTGCATGCTCAGCAATTGCTGTGCCATTAATCTTTACCTACGTCTTTCTTTCTTTCTTTCTTTCTTTCTTTCTTTCTTTTTTTCTTTCTTTCTTTCTTTCTTTCCTTCTTTTCTTTTTTTCTGGTCCTGGGGCTTGAACTCTGGGCCTGGAAGCTGACCTGAGCTTCTTTTGCTCAAGGCTAGCACTCACTCTACCATTTGGACCACAGCACTATTTCCCGCTTCTTCTGAGTAGTTTATTGGAGATAGGAGTCTCATGAGGTTGGGAATGTGGCTTAGTGATAGAGTGCTTGCCTAGCATACATGAGGCCCTGGGTTTGATTCCTCAGCACCACATAAGCAAGCAAACAAACAAAAAGAGTCTCATGAACTTTCCTGCCTGGACTGGCTTCAAACTGTAGTCCTCAGATCTCGGCCTCCTGAGTAGGATTACAGGTGGAGCCTCTTGTACCTGGCTTGTACAATATAGTATAAGACCCTGGGTTCTATCTCCAGCATTAGCAAAAAAAAAAAAAAAGGGATTTAGTGATTATTAATGTATCCACAGGAGGCTGGGAAGGTGGCTCAGTGGTAGAGCGCTTGCCTTGCATGCTTGAGGCCCTGAGTTCGATTCCTCAGCATCACATAAGCAAAAAGAAAAAAGCCAGGAGTGGTGCTGTGGCTCAAGTGGTAGAGCGCTAGCCTGAAGCTAAAGAGCTGAGGGACAGCACTCAGGCCCAGAGTTCAGGCCTCACGACCCAACCTCCCAAAAAAAAAATGTTTCCATAGGATTGTGAATCATCACCACAATCTAATCTATTTCACAGCATTTGCACCTCCTATCAGAACACATGGTTATGGCTGGGAAGGTGGCTCAGTGGTAGAGTGCTTGCCTTGCAGGCATGAGGCCCTGGGTTCAATTCCTAAGCACCACATAAGCAGAAAAAGCCAGAAGTGGTGCTGTAGCTCAAGTGGTAGAGTGCTAACCTTGAGCCGAAGAGCTGAGGGAGAGCCCCCAGGCCCAGAGTTCAAGCCCCAAGACCAAAAAAAAAAAGAACACATGTTTACTGCATATTATAATGAGACTGTGAACTGTTCCCCTTAGCCTCATCTACTAGGGTTTTGGTTGCCAGTTGATGGGCTTTGGGAAATTGGTGCTGGTGGCTCAGGGTGCTGGTGGCTTATACCTGTAATCCTAGCTATTTAGGAGGCTGAGATCTGAGGCTTGAGATTCAAAGCCAGCCGGGCAGGAAAGTCCAGGAAATTTTTATCTGCAGGTAACCACAAGAAAAGTGGAAGTAGGGGCTGGGAAGGTGGCTCAGTGGTAAAGTGCTTGCCTGCCTTGCATGCATGAGGCCCTGGGTTCGATTCCTCAGCACCACATAAGCAAAAAGAAAAAGAAAAAAAAAAGAGAAGTGGAAGTAGAGCTTTGGCTCAAAGTGGTAGAGCGCTAGCCTTGAGCAAAAGTGCTTTAAAAAAAAAAAAGAGTTCAAGTCCCAGGATGGGCACAATTGTACACACACACACACACACAATTGTACACACACACACAATTGTACACACACACACAATTGCACACACACACACACACACACACACACACACCCTGTGAGCCAGGAGCCAGTAGCTCACACCTATAATCTTAGCTACCTAGAAGACTGAGATTGAGAAGATTGAAGTTCCAGGTTAGCCTGGGCAGAAAAGACTTTTATCATTCATCTCAATGGGAACAGTTGGGCATGGGCATAGTAGCCTGTGCCTGTCATTCAGCTTTGATGGAAAGCCTGAAGTAGGTGTATCCCTGTCAGGATATATATATCCCTGTCAGGGGCAGGAAGTGAGACCCTATCTCAAAGTAACTAGCATGCACAGGCATACACAGACAGACAGACACATAGATACAGGGAGAAGTGGCTCAGTGGTAGAGCACCTGCCTAGCAAATGTGAGGTCCTTAGTTCAAACTCCACTACTAACAAAACCAAGCAAATGACTGAGAATTGCTGTCTGTTTTTCTCTCTAGTGGTGCGTGTGGAGAGGTAAAACTGGGTTTTGAGAGGAAAACATGTAAGAAAGTAGCCATAAAGATCATCAGCAAAAGGAAATTTGCTATTAGCTCTTCAGGAGAAGCAGTAAGTATGGGATTTTACATTTCTTTTCAGCCTCAGGAAGACTTGACTAAAGCGTGATATAATCATTTATGAATAGAAAAAAAATCACTGAAAAAATTTACATTGAAAAATTTAAGTGTCCTTTGATTGATCTAGAAACTTTCATTTATAGATAATTTGGCTTCACAAATATTTGTCCATCTTAATATACATAGCAAGAAGATGTTTTTTCTTTCCTCCACTTTGAAATGTTATGACTCTTTTTACAATAATTGAAAGGAAATCAGAAAGAAAAAAAATACAGTTGTAATCCTGCCACTGTAACCCCAACAGCTGTTTTCAGTTTTTCTTTCCCTTCTAGCCTTGGTTTATATGATTTCACGTTTTTAGATGGTTGAAATCATATTGCATGTATAGCTTGGCATTCTGTCCCCCCCCCTTTTTTTTCCTGCTTGGTACTGGGGCTTAAACTCAGGGCCTAGGTACTGTCTTGAGGTTTGTTTGTTTTTGTGCTCAAGGCGAGGCTCTACCACTTGAGCTACAGCTCCACTTCTGATTTTTTGGTGGTTAATTAGAGGTAAGAGTCTTATGACCTTTCCTGCCTAGGCTGGCTTTGAACTACAATCCTCAGGTCTTAACCTCCTGAGTAGCTGGGCCAGCTGTCTTTTAACTTTTTCTCTCTGGCCTGGTGTTCTGTCACTTGAGTCCCAGCTCCACTTCTAGCCTTTTGGTGGTTAATTGGAGATCAGAATCTCACAGATTTTCCTTCCTGAGCTGACATTGAAATGATCCTTAGAAAAGCCTCCTGAGTAACTAGGTATTATAGGTATGAGCCACCAGTGCCCTGCTCTAGTGTTTTTTTTTGTTTTTAAGTTTTAAATCTTTTTGGTGACATTAGTGATCAAACCCTAGGCCTCATTCTTGGTAGGCAAATGCTCTACCACTGTGTTATATTCCCAGCTTTTACTTAAAGAGTTAAAAAATTACATTGTTTTATAGCAGCTATTCATCTTATAACATTTAAAAAACAAATCTACATTTGCTGAATGGGTGATGTTGCCAAACATATTGGTTTTTCCATGCATGACCTAACAAAGTAATATAAAACACAGCCCCTAATCACAGTTTCCTTTGCAGCCAGCTGTTTCTGGCTATTATACTTTAACATTCCTTAAAGATCTTTTTTTCCTCCCTAGACAATTCCATGGTCACATGGCAGGAGGAATTTCCTTTCTGTGTTCACCTCTCCTCTGAGATTCCGGATTTACTTTGCCTTTTGGGGAGAAGCAAATTATCTACTAGACTGTTAAAAATGTAGAACATGTTGCTTCTTAATTTCCCTCTTTGAATCTTTTATTTGACATTTTAGGATCTCTCTCTGTTAACAGAGTAACACACCCTGATTTGGTAATGAGTGTAAGGGCTTTCCGGAAGAGGCAGGCTTTTAAACTTAAACATCTGGGGCTTCTTAGCTCAAGTCCATTTTACATAAATATGTAATTCTATATCCTCTTTGCTCATGGAGGGTGTAGTTGGGAAGTTGAAGTTGAGTTACTCAATTCATCCTCTGGAATTGTGACAGAACAACTCCAGTTCGCTGAAGCTTGCTGTCCTCAGAGTCGAAGGAAACCAGTTGGCTTGCGATTGTTTAACTTGTGTCTGCTGATTATTGGAAATTTGAATTGACATTTTTTTAAGCATAGTTTAATTAAGCTCCTTTTTTTTTTTTTTT